AATTTCAAAACAAGTTCATCAGCGATCACTGAACAAGCTCAGTGTATGATCGCTGGAACTGAAATTACAGATACATAAATACATCGAAAGGAAAAAGGGATTATCAACAAATCAATGAGAGAGAGGATCAACACTTATCTTAGGCCCTGACTCATCCTCCGCGGACGAACCTTGCAAAGGAACCTTTAGGTTTTGGGTGGATTTGGTCAGGGAGATGCATAAATAGTACTTCAAGATCCATTACTGATGATTTTCAAACCTTTGGTGTATAAGTTGCTTAAATGTTGAGTATTTGTAACTTATTAGTTTATATCGAGTTTATTTGAATAGTCAAGTGAGTCATGGAGTTTACTTGGTTTAACTTTACTCAAATGAGTTTTGGGAACATTTGTCCTGTTTAAATTGCTCCATGTTGAGCTTTGAAAGTGATATACAATTATGGCATGTGTATTTAGAATTACATGTTTTAGGTGTGTCGGTCATTCAATTAGAGTCATGTAATTTAGATTGTAATGCAACGGGTTCATAATAGGAGTCGTTTAAATGGGATGAAGATTCTCGTATTATAACGTGAAATAGGCATTGGATCATCATTGGCAATATGGTGTGGGCTCTTTGAGTCAGGTATGTGGTCATTGACCAACATAATGTAATTTCTTGTGAACGAGCTTAACTAGGATTTTGGAGATCCCAAGGTATAGACATAGTATGGTTGAACTTGGTGACTCCAAAAACAATAGACTTGGAGTAGTTGGGCTTCATTAAACTATAGACCTGGAGTGGTTGATCTTAATGAATGTTAATCCATAAGTGATGCTCATATAACGTAGATCTGTAACCTATTTTTGTGTTACATCATGTTGAATGAAATTGGGTCTCCCCCCCCCCCCCGTCACCAGAAAGAGTTTCGGATATGATATTTTATCCATGTTATCGTGTTGTTTTAGGTATGGAATGTATCCACGATTTGATGTTTTAAATGTTGTTTATTATTCATATTTGGTTGCTTCGGGTACTTAATTTTTATTTATGTCTCTGGTATTTGAACATCATGCTTTATTTATGGTTGTATGAATATTAGATAAAAATGGGTAAGTGAGTTTGTCGGATACCAGAGACAAGTAATTGGTAGTTGTCGGATATAATGGATAGATTTGTTTAGTTTATTTGTCTTCAGTATTTTAATCGTTTTGAGTTTGTCATGTAGCATAGTAGTGAAAAGCCCAACAACTCAGATATCTACTTAAAACTATGGTTGAAGTTATTTGTAGCTCACAACTTTAAACCGATAAGTAACTCACAAATCTAGTTATCCATCAATGTGGGACAGGTTGTGTTAGGATCCAAGCGCCTACCACTTTGCCAAAAGCAATTGTTGATGGAGAAGGCGCAACTTATTTCTTTATAGTGTAGCAGTCAGTGTCACATTTCGATTTAGAAAGATGTTGGTCAATGACCCAACAATCCCCCCCTACCATCTACCAGCACTGACAAGATATTCGCTAGAAGTCAATGGTTGCACAACATGTCTTTGGCATTATTATCCACCCCATGAGATTCGAACCCGTGACCTGCTCTGATACCACATTTAGGATCCAAGTGCTTACCACTACCCCAAAAGCAATTGATAGTGGAGAAGACACAACTTATTTCTTTATAGCATAGCAGTCAGTGTCACGTTTTGATTTAGAAAGATGTTGGTCAATGACCCAACAGGTTGTTACAAACTGCCCGATTTTATGTCCTTGCCAGGCTTCCTAAAATCCTCATTGTAATCGGTGACATGGGATTTGCCTTACATGTTAATTTGCCTTACATGTTAAAAACACCCCCAATGACTCATCGTACTTGATAAGGTTTGCACTACCATTAAGATGGTATAATGATCGATTATGATACCATTTGTAATGCCTCAAAGCCCAAATGAGCATGATGACCTAATAACCTACAGATCAACTTAAAATCATGGTTGAAGTGATTAGTAGCCACACCTTTGAGCTTGCAACGAACTCAAAAATCTAATCTTTTATCCATACGGAACAGGTTTTTACAAACTCCCTCATTTAAATTCTTGACTTCATTGTGAGACCTTCAAGAATCCCTCTTGTAGTCGGCGATGTATGATTCATCTAAGATGTTACAAACACCCCCTGTAAAGAGTTCATCGTGTTCGATGAGGATTGCGTTACCATCTCAATGGTTCAAGGATCGACTCTGATACAATTTGTAATGCCCCAAGCACACTATTGTAAGTTGGCTCGGTAACTTCGAATTCAATTTAAACCATGGTGAAAATTATTGGTAACTTAAAGAAAAACTTTATGTTCTTCATTTTTATAAGTATATTCTTTGTGATTTATTTTGTGAGTTCTTAGTAAGACATCAGTGGTCACTTCAATAGATTGAACACAGTCAACGCGAAGGAGAATAGGTGACTTGGCCCATGACATCAGGTTGCAGTCAAAGTCGCATGAATCACATATGATTTTACACGTGATTTTAGTGTAAAACCACAAACGATTCAATCGTTTTCGTGTTCTTTTATCTGATTAATGTTCTCCTATAAAAATTGTAGTGTAATATATATATATATATATATATATATAAACACAAGAAGTTTACTTTTTCAATACACAAGAAATTAACTGTAAATATTAATCAATATTCTAAATCATAGTTTTAGATGAAAAATGGTATTAAATAACACATGATATACTAGTAATAATTTGCCTTATTTTTGGCATTCAAATAGTATAAAGATTTGATAAACAACAAATCATCTCTAACCTCTTATATCATTTTTACCACCAAATAAAACAATTGCTTTAGACATTAAGGGGTGTTTGGGATTGCTTATTTGAAATAACTTATACTTTTCTATAAAAGCATTTATCAACTTAATATAAGTCAGAAGGGTTTAACTTCTTTAAAAACTTAAAATTACCGATTTAACATCAGTATAAGTTGTTAGATTATTGTTTCTTGGATTAAGATTTTATGCATGGGACCATATAGGAAGCCATGCATGAGAGCATAAAGCCAGTCCATTGTGAAGCTTGTGTTGGGATAATTTCCACAAATTAATACATACAAGTCCCAATCAAATACTATTCTCAAAAGTAGAAGAATACAGAATAAAATGGATCCCAAATATGCCAACCATATAATAATGCAATCCAATATCGATATCCAACAATTAAACTCAATGAAAACGTAAAATAATACAATCGTTTAACGTGGTTCTACTATCGTGAAACAGTAACGGTGCATGGGAAGACAGATCCGTAATTGCATGCAATATATAGTTTTTACAACATTCATGGATATCATCTCTCTACCATAAATGAGACTATTTGCGGAACTCGCATATTGATCCGATAATGAGGAATAACGATATCATGGCAAAAGTTTTCCGTATCTTCAACAAGATTTAGATCTTCCATTGTCATTTGCCCAAATTCCCATGGCAAAGTACAGGGCTATCAGTCTAAGCCGTGCCATAAGCGGTCATTCTCCAAACGGGACGGGACCAAACCTTTAGGTTATCAAAAAGCTGCTCTAACCGAAGCCATTCACCATTCGACTATTCAATATGCAATACGTGACTCAAACATTATACAGACTCTTTACATACGTAGACACGATATATACTATATATATATATATATACATACCTTATGATCAACACATGATATATACTAAATCCATCCTGTAGAATAGTGCATTGATTAGGGTTTCCTTCACCTTCTTCTAATATTAGAGGATCACTATTACATCATGTTAGAACAAGGTGATAATCTAGTGTTACTATAATTAACGATGGATTAAGATACCAATATGGCCAATGACTGAATATCGATCCACCTAGTTTAACCCTTCAAGTACGAGCGTGAGCAATAACACACGAATCGTCATAAAGGGTTATAACTAGGTGGATCAATTGGTATCTTAATCCATTGAAGTACGAGTGTGAGCAATAGCACACGAATCGTCATAAACAAACATAGAATCCATCCCGTAATTAATGGCTTTTCGTGTAGCGTAACTAAATATACCTTATGCTACGAAATGTCATTTCGTGTAGCAATTCGTGTACGGATGAGCGGTACCCTAAATCAAAAACTTTCTTGAGGCCAACATACCAAAAGGCTAAGTAACCTTTTTGTTCCAATACTTGATCTTCATGGTCATATGCCGAATCGAATGAACACGAAGATAAGTCTAAACAACAAAACGACGATCTAGTATTCATTGGATATGAATTATATACAAGAAGTACATGTTTATGTTAGATGATTAATCTTGTGAAGTTGCAATGGTGCAATAGTGTCATTAGTGTTCCTAGATGGTGTTCTCTTTACAAATCTTCGTGCCCAAACATGCTTCCCGTTAATGTTGTATTTAGACTTCCCATCAACACCATCTCTCTCAATTACACCTCTTGCCATAGACAGAGAACGAGCCACAATTCGAGCGTAGAGTGATTGATTCTCTGGTCCGGCGTCGTGCATATGAATGGATTCGATGAAATCCCCAAATAGCCTAATCAAATCAACACAAAGATCGATCAAGTTAACATGTATCTTGCTTCTTGATCAATTGATGATATAGATATATATATATATACATATGTATGTATATACCTAGTGAAGTAGTGTCTAACTTCATTTTCAGAAATTGGGTATCCTTTGGAAAATGTGAGGAAGATGGTCCGTTCTTCTGGTGGCACCTCTTCGTCTGGCTCTTTGAGGACATATGGACCATGGCCGGTGGCATAAACCGGAACCAAATCCATCACCGGAGTGACCACACCACGACGATTTGTAGGGCCTGCAACACGAACCATTTGTTGATGCATCATAACATAATTTTGCATAACTCGTGCATCTCGGCTTGAACCAGCTGCAACTGCTGGATTTTGATGAACTCGAACATAAGGACGGATATTGTATGAAGGAATAGGGGCAACACCGCGCACGTTCCGGAGGTCACTAACGGTAGCACGCCCGGGAGATCGCATCACCAAAGGCCCACGATTCCTGCTCGTGAACCCGTCCAAAATGTCGTCAAACGCCTTGGCGGAAATATCCTTGGTGATGACAGACACCTCACTGAAAATCGGGTCTTGGTTGCGACGAAGCTCTTGCAGGTTTATATCTTTTCGATCAAGCAAATTCTGAAGCAGCCTTATGTCGGTGCTTCCATCAAACATGGCGTTGTTGGGTATCTTCTGCAAGAATTTAAGGCATACGACAACCTCATCAGCAAGCTGATCGATCACCTCTGGGGCCAAAGAATTGATGATCATTTCAACAAGATTCTTTGAGGTGTACCCTTCTCTTTCTAGCCATATGAGAAAACCCATGACTAGCGTCGACTGAAAGACGTCTCGATGAAGAACTAGAAGCAAGAGAGTGAATAATCTACGTTCGTGCTTGTAAAACAGATGGTAATCATCCTTGGATATTGACGGACGAGAAATGATCATCGGAAAAAGCGAAGGTTGTTTGGGTGAAGCAAAGATATCATCCATGGGAGGAGCTTGATTCATTGATTTGGGTATCGACTTAATTGGGTGTGTGTGTGTGTGTTTTTGTTCAGTGTGAAATGATTTCAGACACACATGTAGCATATGTATATATATATATATATATACACATATATTTATATATATATATATACGGATTTGAGTGAGGAAGATAAGATTAGTGAAGATGATGATGTTGAAAGACTAAATTACCCTTTTACATAGAATTTTTTTTTTTTTTTCATTTTATAAAAATTATGAAACTCCTTTCTTAATCTAATCACGAAGGATGTCTGGGATTGTTTATAAAAATAACTTATTGGTTTATTCCAGTGTGTCACCGGTAATAGGCACTTTTGAGTATTTGAATAAACAACTTATATCGGTGTCAAACTGGTAATAAATTTTTTTTTTTTGAAAAAGTTAAATCATTCTAACTTATAATAAGTTGATAAAGACTTATTTTTGCTTCAAATAAAGAATCCCAAACACGCCCTTAATATACTTGTATAATTTTAGCATATCATATTATCATTAAATATTTTTTAAGGCATTTTTCTAGAAAAATTGTAACAAAAAGTATCATAAATCTAATCTTAAAACATTCTCGAAATTTCCGAAATGTATTTAAATCCTGAAAATCCCTAAAATATGTCTCACGAAATAAAAATCTCTTTTGGTGTAATATAATATAATATATATATATATATATATAATATAATAAAATATTATATATATATATATATATATATTCATTAATTGTTGTCGTTACATTTCATAAAATAAATTAAAGTTTTTATTTGTAAATAAAGATCGCAATTTAGGGAACATAGAAAATCATGAATATGTACATGTAGATTTGGAGATTCTTTGGAGTAATATTTTATGTAAATCAATATAAATTAATTAAGTTTCCATTACACTTCATGTTTTTCATCATCGTTTTAAGTTGTTATGGTCAAAAGATACTTTTACAGAACCATCAATCTTAGAATCAAAAAACTGTTGTTGGTTATAGTTTGAGATCTTATTTTTGTTTTAATAATGAGAAAGTACTTAAGATTCATGTACTCAATGTTAAGTAATAAGGAGTCAAAAATTTATGCAGAAAAGGTCGTTTTGAAATGTAAAATATGGATATAAGTTGGACCGTCACATATGGTTGGTAATTTTTAGAAAAAGATATAGTTTTTTTAATTAATAACAAGAAATCTACTATATTCTAATATAAAAATAGAATGAATATACCAAAGTTTTCTAGGCAAGTAGTTTTAGATTTTGATACTAGTTAAAAGTAACTTAAAAAAAACAATAGGTAATACCATAAAATACACGACCAATTAACTTTATACACGTTTTCTTTTCCAATGTAACTGATTAATACTGTTTCGTTAATATGATACAGAATTCTTTTTGAGTCATATTAAATACCAAAAAGATTATGTTTCTTTTATTTACTAATTTTTTGAATTAATATTATATACTAAAAACTTTTGGACCCTATCTTTTGTGGGCCCTGAACATGTGTCCGGCCCGCCCTTCCTCAAAGGAGGCGGGGGCCGGGACAACTATATGATTTAATATGTATGTAATGTAAATAAATGTCTTTGTTGTTTCATATGTGAAACATCACTGCGTTTGAAGCATGTGAAACACGGGTTTGTTTATTAGAATGAAATTTTTTGTTGTTTCGCATATGGAATGACCAATGCATTACAAACATATTAAATCATGTTTGTTTTGTACACGAAACAATGATTGATAAAACAGATGAAACCATGTGTTTGCTGCATATGATAGATATTTCACATATGAAACAATGGTATATCATATCAAAGCAAGTATTAGATCATGTATAGTTTCATAATGACACAACACTACACCGCAGTACGTATGATGTAAAATCATGTATTATGTCATATTAAAAAATTAATTTTCACAATTTCTACCTTTTGAACAATTTTTATATGGTTTACCCCCCCCCCCCCCCAACACACACACACACACACACACATATATATATATATAGAGAGAGAGAGAGAGAGAGAGAGAGAGAGAGACCAAAGGTTTTTCATGAGGCCCGTAAGACCAATTATCAACTCTTGATTAGATCTACAATCTGAACATTAATAATATCAAAATTGTCACGAGACTTCTCAATAATCACAAAATTGTCACCGTGCAATTTTAGACCATTAGATTATTAGCTTATAAAGTTGATCAATGAACGTGAGACCAAGGGTCTTTCGTGAGACCCGTAAGACCAATTGATGTTCATTGATCAACTTTATAAGCTAATGATCTAATGGTCTAAAGTTGCACGGTGACAAGTTTGTGATTATTGAGAAATCTCGTGGCAATTTTGTGATTATGAATGTTCAGATTATAGATATAATCCAAGGGTTGAGAATTGGTCTTACGGGTCTCACGAAAAACCTTTGGTCTCACATGATCTCAAGTCTCTCTCTCTCTCTCTATATATATATATATAGGGTATATTTCAAATACAACCATGTCCATTTGTACAACCAATGCAACCCAGTCAATTGTAATTTTTATGGAAATGATGAGAATTCATTTATTATGATTTGAATATTTATGGAAATGACTAGAGTTTTTTAGTTATGATATTATGATTAGGAAACAATCAAAACTATTATGAAATCACATACTTATCAAATTAAATGGACGGTTGAGATTGGGTTGTATTGGTTGTACAAATATAAATGGTTGCATAATAATCCACCTCTCTCTCTCTCTCTCTCTCTCTATATATATATATATATATATATAAGGTTCAGTTCAAGTGATATCCGTGAGACCATATTTTTACACTTAAAACTTCATAACAAAACATTGTGAAGTTAAAAAAATTCGAACCTTCACAGCAAAAATACTATGAAGGTTATCTTCACAATATTTTGTTGTAAAGTTTCAAGTGTAAAGAAATAGTCTCCCGGGTCTTATAGAGACAGCTTGTTCTCACATGAATCCAAGTCTATATATACACACACACACACGCACACATGGAGGTCTTCTTTTGAGGACTCATGGAATTGTGATAAGTTTAAAAACTAGTGCATCGTGTGTTAATTATTTCATATCGTTTTTTCATCTAAAACTAAGTTTTAGAATATTGATTTAACATATAAAGTTAATTCCTTATTCATTAAAAATAAACTTCATGTATGCGTATGCGTATGCGTATGTGTATGTACATACACACACATATACATGGAGATCTTTTGAAAACCTATGAACTTGTGATAATTTTGAAAACTAGTGCATCATGTCTTATTTCATATTATTTTTTATCAGCAATTATGAATTTAGAATATTGATTAACAAGTACATCATACAAACAGACTACATATAAAACAAGTACATTGTGAAACAAATATATATTCATCAATGCATTAAATGTTGGGTTAAATGCATGAAATAACAACCTATTTTCATAAAATTTCTTGTTATAACATTCTACTTTTGTTTTTCTTTATTACAGCAATTACCTTTCAAATTATTTTTTATTAAGGTATTGTACTTTAAAAAATCTACCCATAATAGCAATGGGTAACTTGTTACCTTTTAAACCTATTAACCCTTTGACTTTTTTGCTTGTGTGGCTTTAATGAGGTGATGTGGATGACACATCATTTTGATGACTTAACTAAAAATAAAATAAAAACATATTTCAAATTATTATTAGTTATTTTCATTTTTCATTGCTACTATCTAAAAAACATTTAATTTTTTTTATTTTTTCTTATTAAGTTGCATTCAGATTAAATATTCTTAGAGTAAAATATTTATTAAATAAAATATGAAACATTATTTTCGAGATATATTTTGTTTGTAAAAAATGTAACTTTTTCTATTTTATTTTGTTCAAATAAATACATATATTTTAAAGTTCTCTTTAAAATATTAACGAAATAAATTGTTATCTATAATTTTTTAATATTGTTATATTAATAAATAATTCAAAAAAAAACTAATTAATTTAATATATTTATACGTCAAGTAAAAAGTTTTTGAACAAATATAATATATTTTTTAAAAGATAATATATTTTGGTAAAAAAATAAGAATTCTTATTTTCTTTTTTTTTAAACACATATTTTTTTTAAAAATATTAGCGAGATAAGTTGTGTTCTACTAGTTTTATTGATATTGGTATTAATGAATAATTTATAAATTTTTTAATACATTTATTAAATAACATGTAAAAAAATATTAAAATTAAAAATACAGTGTTTAATAAGAACTAGTAGATGCTATAATAAAATAATTTTAAAAGTACAATAATGTAGTAAGAAAGTCACATCACTATAGTACATGTGGACAGCCTACGTGGATAATGAGGTGGCATGGAAACCTAGTATAATGGGTAAATTTAAATCAAAAGGTTACTCAATGCTATAATGGGTAAATTTTTCAAAGTACAATGTCCTAATATAAAATAGTTTGAAAGTACATTGTTGTAATAAAAAAAAACTGAAAATACAATGCTATGATAAAAAAAAATTATGAAAGTAGATTGTTATTTTATGCATTTTGCCCTTAAATGTTAAGCTTAGATTAGAAAAATAATCATATTAAGATAAAAGTTCTCACGATTATTTCTCATTTGATTACGTCTATATATAAACATTTTACAGATAATAATATGTTCTATAGACTTGGGATCATGTGAGACCAAGGTTTCTCGTGGGCCCGTGAGATCAATTCTCAACCCTTGGATTAGATCTACAATCAGAACATTCATAATCATAAAATTGTCACGAGACTTCTCAATAATCACAAAATTGTCACCGTACAACTTTAGACCATTAGCTCATAGCTTATAAAGTTGATCAATAAACATAAATTGATCTTACAAGTCTCACGAAAAACCCTTAATCTCACGTGAAACCAACTCATGTTTTATAAATACCTGTTTATTTGTAATACATATTTTGTCTCAACAAAAAATGTGAATTCACATTTTATTTTTGTTACGGTTACGTTTCTCCAAAAAGACA